CACCGCCCAGGGGGATGGCCACGCCGCAATCCCTTCTCCATTCTCCTCTTGGGATCTTGGGCATGCACGCACATGTGCCTGGAGTGAGTTTTTTTTTTTTTTTTGAGAGATTTTCACTATAGGGCGCGTGCGCTCGCCCGACAGACAGAGAGAGACATTAGAGACAGAAAGCGAGAAATCACCCCCCAGGGGGGATGGTCACACCGCAATCCCTTCTCCTCCATTCTCCTCTCGGGATCCTGGGCGCGCACACACACGCGCCCGGCATGAGTTTTAAGCCACCGGGTCCGGGACGCGAACCGCGGTCGACTACGTGGGAGTCCAGTGACATAGCCATTACGCTAACTGCTGGTTCCCTCTTTTTGCTTTCTTGACACAGAAAAGTTTTTTAATTTGATGAATTCCAATTTATCTACATCTTTCTTTGGTTGCTTATACTTTAGATATAAGAAACAATTGTCTAATACAAAGCTATGGAAATTTATAGTTGTTTTCTTGTAAGAGCTTTATAGTTCTAGCTGTGACATTTAAGTTGTTTACTTAAGCTAGTTTTTCCATACAGTGTGAGATAGTCCAGATTCGTTCTTTTGCATTTGGATATCCATTTGGCCTAGCACCATTTGTGAAGTAGATTATTATTTACTTATTGAACTTTCCTAGTATCCTCTTCGAAAACCAATTGACCATAACATGTTTTTCTGTACTTTCAATTCTTTTCTATTGATTTGTCTATCCTATATCAGTATAATACTATATTTGATTACTGTACTAAGTTATTATTGAATGTTAACAGTTTTATAGTAAATTTTGAAATTGAAATGGCCGAAGCTCAGATTTTGTTCTTTTTTGAGATTGTTATGGCCATTCTAGATCTCCTGTTATTTTCATGTGATTTTTAGAATAAGCTTGTCAATTTCTGCAAAAAAAGCTTGCTGAGATTTTGATAATGATGGTGTTGAATTTGTAGATCCATTTGATGAGTATTCCTATATTAACAATATTAATTTTCTACTCCATGAATACAGGAGATCTTTCCAGTTATTTAAGTCTTACTTAATTTTTAAATGATTTTTATACTTCTTAATGTATAAGTTTTCCATGTATTTCTTAAACTTATTCCTAAGCATTTTATTTTTTAATGCTATTGTAAATTGAACTCTTATTTTTTGGATTGTTCACAGCTAAGTATAGAACTACAGCTGATTTTTAAATATTGACCTTATGTTCTGCAGTCTTGCTGAACTCATTAACTTTCATCTTTGTGTGTTCTTAGAATTTTCTGTATATGTGATCGTGTCATCTGTAAGTTTTATCTGTATTTTTACGTCTTCCTTTCTAGCCTTTTATTTCTTTTTTTCTTGATTAATTATTCTGGCTAGACCCTTTAGCACAGTGTTGAATAAAAGTACTTTGACTAGTAACCACAGTGTTAGCTCTGGGTTTTGGTAGCTCTTCTTATCAGGTTAAGGAAATTAGGTTCTGTTTCTAGTTTTTTGAGTATTTTTATTATTGAAAGGGTGTTAAACTTTGTCGAAAGTCCTTTTGTATCTATTGAAATTATCATTTGTTTTTATTCTATTCTATAGCATTCTATTCTATACCATTCATGAAATATGATATATTTCTTTTTTTAAGAATTGATTTATTTAACTTTATTTATTTATTTATTTATTTATTTTAATTTGACCAGAGAGGGATAGCATTAG